CCCCCCCCCCCTTCCCCCACTTGAGAATTGAACCTAGGTCTTCTGCATGCGATGGTGAGGCCTCTAACCACTACACCATAGACAGAGGTTACATAGAACATCATAGATCTTATTATGATGAGTGATGAGATACCACAGATCAAGTATGTCAGATCTGTTGGTGAATTCAAAACCCTGACAACATTAATTCTGTCCCCAGGGTTTTATGCTCCCCAGATAATTAAGCAAAATTTGATCTTTTTTTTTCTTTCATAATTTCTGATTTTTTCCCCTTTATCATTCTTTGTTAAAATTAGCCGAATCGCCTAATTTCACATTTTTGGGTTCAGTTTGTATAATTTCATAATAATTTGTTGTTGTTGCATAAAAACGCGGGCACAGCAATATATTGTTATACAGAACTTACACTTGGCAGCATTCAGCTACAAATTTTAAAATATAATACATGGTAGTAATAATCATACCTGTGATAGATTGATAGATAGATAGATAAATAGATAGATAGGTAGGTAGGAGGTATGTAGGCAGATAGGTAGGTTAGTAGGTTGATAGATAGATAGATAGATAGATAGATAGATAGATAGATAGATAGATAGATAGATAGATAGATAGTTATGTAGGTAGGTAGGTAGGTAGGTAGGTAGGTAGGTAGGTAGGTAGGTTGGTAGACAGACAGACAGACAGACAGATAGACAGACAGACAGACAGATAAATAGATAGGTAGGTAGGTAGGTAGGTAGGTAGGTAGGTAGGTAGGTAGGCAGGCAGGCAGGCAGGCAGGTAGGTAGGTAGATAGGTTGGTAGGTAGGTATTTAAATAATTATAGTGCGGTCCAACATTTGTGGTGCAACTTATCCTCAAATGTCTTTTGAACAGGTGAATCAATGTCATTTATACTTTTCACAGCGGTTTGTATCAATTTGACTTAACTTCATCATATTTTTCCACAACAATTGAGGCTAGATCAAAAAACTTTTCTTCATAAATCTATATAAAATACTATAAATCTCCGCCTCGCGAAAAGTGGGATTGTTCAAAGCACTTCCCGCTTCTCACAAACATTTTGCACACGCATACTATGGCCTACGTCACAGCTCACCAATGACACTTTTTAGTAGCAAAACCTGTAACTAGAAATTAATTTTATAGTGACCACTTTTTTGCACTAAAGGTTATCAAAACATACGTTCAATAAGCATAATGTTGCAATTGGGAAAAAATGATGGACTTGCTTTTGTTTGGAAAAATATTCATCAGTTAAAACAAATTGATATAAGAGTGCAAAAGTTGGAGAATCAATGTTCAATAGTTAAAGAGATATTTTACAATAAGTTGCGCCATGATTTTTTGACTGCACTATAGATAGTAGATAGATAGATAGATAGATAGATAGATAGATAGATAGATAGATAGATAGATAGATAGATAGATAGATAGATAGATAGATAGATAGATAGATAG